ACAGGTGCGACAGCGGATGGCCCCTGCGGCGACAGCCCAGCCCAACTCGGTAAACACCCAACAGCAACAGGTGGGGACATCGACCAATGCCCCCTCTCCACGCCCCAACCCATGGAACTATCATCACCGGCCAATCGCGGCAGCCAGTACAGGCCCCTCTGCGGACGGCCACACCCTACAGCAGAGAGTTCCCAGCACTGGGGGAGCAACAGAGGAGACCAGTTGCACCGCAAGGGGAACAACGGCATGGGCAAGTCTCGAAGCCTCAGCAGAAACGGAACAAAGGAACACAACAAGCCCGGCTCAGGGACGCTGCTCAAGGAGCTGCGGCTACTCAGCACCAGACAGGACACCAGCAAGGGACTTCCCGTCCGAGTCAGTCCCCACCCGAGTGCAGCAGGAAACAGGCCGCGGCACCCAGTCAGATAGCACAGAGAACCACGGAGACCTGCGCGACCTGCGGGTCAGCAGCAGCAACAATCGCGGGAGTGGGCCAACAACCTCAGGCCGCAGCCAAGGAAGCCCTGTCCCCCAGAGGGAGGGCACCTCGCAGGTTCACATTGTCACCGTAATCAAGCTTGTGGTAGAGGTGCTATCCATGCTACTCCCATCAATGAAGGACAGGCAGGTCTGCAAGGAGCTCCTGACTACCGTGTACAGCATGGCTCTCCTGGAGAGGGTCGACTCAGCAGCCCTGAAAGATCACCTCACCCAGGTCTTCACGCCCGAGGAAATGGTAGAACACGCACGGGTGTGTTCCGGAGGACCATGGCCGAACAGGAGGAGATGGAGTCCGACGGGTCGCCCGGCAGTCCCTAAAAATTCTCCAGTGGAACATCTGTGGTCTGAGGCAGAAACTCCACCTAGCTATCCAGGCGGCAGTCCGGGATGAGATAGATGTGTTTCTGTTCCAAGAAACCCTTGTCAAGCCCCCACCCCCCACAGCCACGCATCCCTGGGTTCTCTGCATACCTGCAGCGTGGTGGGCCCCCCGCCAGGGGCACCGCCAATCTATGTGCGGAATTGCATCCCCCACTCGATCGTCACTGACCCTATCAACTGCGGTGAAGGGGTGGAGGTGCAAGCTGTCACGCTGCAACTGCCATCTGGACCACTGACTATTTACAATGTGTACCGGAGCACACGGTTTACTCTCGACCTCTCGGAGGTTGCAGCTCTGTCCATATCTCGCCTCGAGGGCGTGCTCGTGGCGGGGGACATCAACGCCCATCATGAGCTTCTCCACTCTGTCTCCCATACCAATGAGAGGGCAGGCACTTGGCGGCTGTGCTCGATGATGTTCCTGACGTCGTCCTCCTCAACAATGGGGAGCCGACACACCACGGCAGCAACCGACTGGATGTCACTCTCCTCTCTCGGAGACTGCAGCGTGGAGTGAGGTGGGAACTCCACCCACTTCTCACCAGCGACCACTTCGCGATCGTCACCACGCTGGCGCTCACCCAGCACATCCCATACACACCGCCTCCACGGTGGAATTTCAAGAAGGCGGACTGGCAGTGCTTCCAGGATGTCATACAGCAATGGTGGGAGACGACCTCCCTCTCTGACAATCCTGATGCGGCTGCCCAGAACCTCCAAGCTGCCGTCACCCATGCGGCTGAGGTGGCCATCCCACTTACCAAGGCTGGAGGTACCATCAAGCGGGACTGGTGGTTCTACGACGAGACAGTCAAGGAGCAGAACCACCGTGTCAACTGTGCCCGCAGGCTCCACAGACGCAACCCTACTGCTGACACCCTTCGGCTGCTGAGAGAGGTGGTGCGGCACGCTCGCCACATCTCCCACAGAGTCCGCCTGGCAAAGTGGTTCGAATGGTGTGCCTCCTTCGGCCATGCCACTACCCTGTCTGAGATCTGGGCGAAAATAGGTATAGCTACCGGAAAACGCAGAGGAACAGCGCGTGCTCACCATGACCCGGCTGGTGAAGCAGAGAGGCTGGTCGACCTCTTCACTTCCAGGGCACAACAGCACGCCTGCCACAAGATGTGCAGAACCTCCAGGCTGTCCTTCTCCCAGACAGGACTGCCAGGCTACAGGCTGCATGCTGCGAACACGACGACACCGATGTAGACTTCAGAGACCGGGAGCTGAAGGCAGCCCTCAGGACATCACACGACACCACCCCCGGCCAGGATGGCATCACCTACAGTATGATCGCAAGGGCGGGCCCCTCTGGACATGATGCACTCTTGGAGGTCATCAACTGCTCCTGGAGGGCTGGACAACTCCCCACTGCGTGGAAGGAGGCCATCATCCTGCCCATCCCCAAGCCCAGGGACCCGGGAAGCATGAGGCCCATCTCTCTCACCAGCTGTCTGTCCAAGACGGCTGAGAGGATGATCCTTGAGCGACTACGGTGGAAGCTTGGCCCGGAACACCGTCACATATACGGCTTCACACGAGGAGTGGGCACAGCAGAGAGCATCACCACCCTCCTTGCAGGCATTGGGTCAAACAAGAGACCCAAAATTGTTGTCTTCCTGGACCTCGAGAAAAGCCTTTGAGCTTGCCAGCGCACCAGCCATCCTTGACCTCCTAGCAGGCAGGGGCGTGAAGGGAAGGCTCCTTGCCTGGATCTCTTCATACCTGCAGGGCAGGTGTGCACGAGTGCGTTTCCAGGGACAAGTGTCCACCCTCAGGCCCCTTGAAAACGGCACCCCGCAGGGAGGGGTCCTCAGCCCCGCTCTCTTCAATGTCCTGATGCATGAGCTGGTGCAGCTGCCATTCTCTTTAGGCACCCAGCTGCTCAGCTACGCTGATGATCTTGCCCTCATCATCACCGAGAGATGTGGTTTGATGCATAGAGCCCAACTGACCTTAACCTCCTCTCCACCGCCTGCCGTCGTCTCGGCCTCAAGGTCTCAGCAGAAAAATCCAAGGCCATGATCCTGCATGCCAATGTGCCGGAGGGGAGACTGCAGATGTCAGGAGTCAATCTCGACTGGGTCAGTAGCTACCTGTACCTGGGAGTGCACATCGACAATCGGCTCTCCTTTCGGAATCAGGCGGAGTACGTCAGAGAGCGGACCATGCAACGGGTCACCGCCATGCGGGCCCTCGCCAGCCCTAGGTCAGGGGCCAGCCGTGACATTCTCCGATTATTCTATGTGCAGGCGGTGCGCTCTCTCATCGACTATGGGGCACTTACCCTTGTCCATGCCCGCCCAACGCACCTTTGAAGACTCAACGTCGTCCAAAATACTGCAGCTCGGATCATGTTGGGGGCGCCGAGGTGGACGAACACTGTGCCCCTGAATCATGAGGCTCAATTGCAGCCGCTACGCGACAGAATCGCCCTTGTGGCAGCCAGGAGGGTGGCCAAGTACGTACAACTCCCCGGTGGAGAGGGACTGCTGCAACACCTTGAACGGCAACAGGGAGACCTCAGGGAGTCTCCTGGCCGGCTGTGGGTGTGGTCAGCGGCTGATGTAGCAAGCAAACTCCTCCCCATGGCGCTTATAGTCGACAAGGGCTGTGACCGGCCTGTGGTGGGGTACTCTGTACTCCCGCCCTGGGCACCAGAAGCAGTTGTGATCCACATCCAAGACCTCCCAGTTAGCAAGCGTCACTGTCCACAACACGTGCTGCAGCAATGGGCTGCAGTGAGTATTGCAGCAGCAGAGCACCCTGGGTGCGCCGTATATATTACACCGATGGCTCCCGGGATCCAGAGGCTGGCCGCACAGGTGCCGGGGTGCACCATGCCACTCTGACGGCTGGATGGCGTCTCCAAGATCACTGCACAATTCTCCAGGCAGAACTCCATGCCATCCAGAGGGCCCTGCAACACGCACTCCTGGATCATCGGCGACCCCCAGTCATTCATGTGGACTCCAGAGCGGCGATCCAGGCCGTCATGCACAGGGAGCCCAGGGACAACATCCGGCTAATTACTGCATCAGGAAGGACCTGCAGACACTTAAGGAGCAGGGACAGCAAGCAACAATCAACTGGATACCGAGCCACATCGACCTCGCTGGGAATTATGCGGCAGATCGAGCGGCGAAGTCGGCAACCCTTGAGGCCCAGCCAGTGACCACCATTGCTATCAGCCGAAGGCAGGTGGATCTGTGGGCAGCTGATGCAGCCAGGCGCCCGCTACCAGGGCCAGGCACATCGCAGAGCCGGATCTGGTATGACAGGGCGACCCGTGGGGAGCCCCCGCCAAGCATGCGGAGGCTAGACAGGAAGTTGCAGGTTGGGGTCCACCGGCTGCGACTTGGCTACCCTACTGCCAGAATACTCATTGACCGTGTGTGAGAGGAGCGCTGCTGCCATTGCAACCAGATGGTCCCAGGTCCACTAGTGCACTACCTCCTCGACTGTCCAGCGACGGTGCCACTCCGACGAAGGCACTTTCCAATGGCGCCTGGGGACCCGAACCGAGAAGACACCGCAGCCCGGCTGGTGTACCTCACCACCCAAGACCTGGGAACTCTCATCCCCATCCTGGCTGCCCACCCACCACCTCGATGACGCCGCCACATACAACTACGAGTCGCCACTACGCTCCATCTATCACCTCTCCTACTCTTCCTTCTTTCACTCCCCTACCTCCTCTCCCCCCCCCCCCCCGCTTAAAAAAAAAAAAAAAAAAAAAAAAAAAAAAAAAAAAAAAAAAATCCAATGGAGCCTGTACCGCTTTCTAGGTAAAAGTCTGAATCACCTAGAACCAATGCCACACTACCAATATTTGACGGGGCTACAAGTGCCTGAAGACCCTTGACCTTGCGATGCCTGCTGACGAGAAAGAAAGAAGACACTCCCCACTTGGGGAGTCAGTGCAAGATAGAAGAAGAAGTTACCCTCCAACCGGAGGGCCCAAGAGAGAAGATAGAAGAATGAAGAAGACGATCGACACCCCCGCCCCGGGGGCCACCGCCGGGTCACCATCTGGAGAAGACCCGGGCCGGAAGTGCCGGCAAATCTTTAATGAATGAATGAATGAATGGCGATTGGAAGACTTCCTGTTTTTTTCCAATATGGCGCAGAGTGTAAGGAGGAGGGTAAATACTGTGGGTATCCAGCTGGTTCGCGGGGCAATTTCACCGCAAGCTGCTCCTGTGCTGTTGCCATTAATCATCCGGGATACGTATGGTATTCAGGATGAAGAATTGTATGGTGTAGCACTTAATGGTGCATACAAGGTGTTTGTTAAGTTGTTAAACACCGACGTCTATGAGCGGCTGGTAGAGAAATACCAGGATGTTCGAGTGGACGTCAATTCTATGGTGAGTGTCCGCCTTCATGACGTCTCCAGGCACTATACATGGGTTAGAGTGCGAAATGTACCGTTTGAGGCTGATGAAACGGACATACGCAATGTTTTTAAGGACTATGGGACCGTTCACCTGGCACAGCCCGGCAAGTGGGTGGAAGGTGCATACGTGGGATACCCAGAGGGTACGTTTTCACTGAAAATGACGATACGGCACCCCATACCATCATATGTTATATTGGAGGCCTTCAGGACTCAGCTCATGGTGGCCTATGCTGGGCAACGCAGGACATTCAGGCATTGTGGTGGTTATGATCACATTGCTGCATATTGTGAACAACAGACTCGACTCCATGGTGTTGAATGTACTGCCGCAGGGGAACCAGGGCAAGTTGGACGTGCTCTAGAGATACAGGAAGGACGTGGGCCTGGTCGTCTGTGGAGTGAGGAGGTGGAGGAGGCAGAGGTAGTGGCGGGTGCGGACCTGACGGCCCCTGTGACTGGGGGCCCTGTGGGACCCATTTTGCCTGATGGTGGGGGACGGCATGGTTCGGCGGAGGAAGCCATTGACGAGGTCCTGGAGAATGTGCTCACCTCGCTGTTTCCCCAGTCCGATGGGGAGGGCGAGTTGGTGACAAGGGCTGATGTGAGGAATGCTGCAGACCTGTGTGGACAGCAGATTGAGCCCATCGACTTGGTGGTGTCTCACGGGGCACTGTGCCCAGAGGGTGGGAAGGTCAGACATGTGGTGGAGGTGGAGGTTCACCGTGAGGTGTCGCAGGAGGTGAGGATGGGAACAGGTGGAGTCGTGCGCAAGCGTGAGGCTGTGACATCAGATTCAGATGATGTCCTGACTCCAGCACAGAGGACTGGCAAGGTGGTGGTGGTGAAGGAGGATGGTGGTGGTCCCTCTGGGACTTTGGACCTGGAGCTGGACCGGGGAGGGGTTAGGGCTGCCGGATCTATGGTCGAGGGTCACGGACGTCTTAAGGGGTTTGTAGAGGATTTGTGGGGAAAAGGTGGGGGCTTACTTGCTTTGGATTGGCAGGGAGCCTATGACCGTGTGGAACGGGAGGCGTTGCGGCAGATCCTTCTGAAGCAGGGATTTGTGGAGGGGCACAGGTGCTTGTGCCAATTAATTGTCGCATAGGGGAAGCAGTGTGTATGGGGCGGGGTCTAAGGCAAGGATGTCTACTATCTCAAATCCTGTTTGCCTGTGTTCAAGACCCTTTTTACAGACTCGTTGAGGCATGTATCTGTGGGGGCGTGGGGACAGGGGAGGTGGGGTGTGGGCCGGGAATTGTAGGATACGTCGATGACACGACGGTACTTGTGCGGGAGGGAAATATAGTTTGAGAGAGGTGGGAGAGGTCATTCGTACATTTGGGGAGGCTATGGGGATGAGGGTTAATATGGAGAAATCTTGCTTAAAGTTGGGAAATTGGAACAGGCAGGGGGATTGGGATGCTGGTGTGGAGTGGAGGGTGGTGGATAGCTTAAAGATATGTGGAATAGTGTTTATGGAGAATCAAGTTCGGTCGAGAGAGGTGAACTTAGAGCATATTGTGGAATGGGTGCAGCAAAGATTGGGGAGTTTGCAGCCGTATCATTTGACATTGTTGCATAGGCCCATCGTGGTAAACACGTTACTATACAGTAAGGTTTGGCATGTGGCGGCAGTTTACCCCATAACGGGGCAAGGAATTACGAGAATTTTAAAGCAGGCATTTAGGTTTATATGGGGTTCTGGGTGTGATTGGCTGAGGAGGGTGGTGGTAATGCTGCCGGTACGTCAGGGGTTTTTAGGGTTATTGGATCTACGGCGTTGGGTAAAATGTGTTTTCTTACGAAGGGAATATGTACGGGTCGGGTTTGGGAGGGGGGTTAAAGCTTCTGCATCAGGGAGTGCAGAGGTGGGTGCAGAGTTGAGGGAATGTGAGGAGGTGCTGCGTACCCTCATGGTCCTAAGGGAGCCTGGCAAGATTCGCATAGGGGTTTTGGCGAGAGTAATTGGGAGCCGGGTGGTGGTGCCGGTGGAGGGAATATACCCCATGTATGGATGGGGAGATATTTGGTGTCGTTTTCGTAAGTTGAAGCTCAGACCTCGGGTGCGGGAGGTTATGTTCCGTTTCCTGCATGGCATTTTGCCATCAGGAGCGGTCCTGCGGGCGAGGCGAATAGTAGAGGAGAGTGGGTGTGGAGTGTGTGGTGGCGAGGATATGGCATATCATGCGGTGTATTTTTGCGAATGTTTGGGGAATGTTAGGGATTGGATGAGTAGGATTGTCAGGCTAGTGGGAGGGGAAGGCATACCGGTGTTGAGGGCACTCGTTTTCGATGTGGGAGGGGTGCCAGAGAGTACACAACGTGCATTGGCATATTTAATGGTAGATTTCGTGTACGTGTCGTGGGGTATGCATGGCAATGGGGATTGGGTGGCGAGAAAATGGGTACTGGCAGCTACCTTTTATAGGACGGTTTGCAGGAACAGGGAAATATATGGATCGCGGTGGGAAGGAGCCTTCCCCATAGGTTATCGTAGTTTAACTATTGGGATCTTACTCGCTTTATAGTGGGGGGGGGTTGTCATGGCTGGGGCAACGAGTGAGAATGTCATCTGGGGTTTCAATGGGCTCGCCGTCGGGAGTGTGTGTGTGTGTGTGTGTGTGTGTACTCACCTATTTGTACTCACCTATTTGTGGTTGCAGGGGTCGAGTCCTAGCTCCTGGCCCCGCCTCTTCACCGGTTGCTACTAGACCCTCTCTCTCCCTGCTCCATGAGCTTTATCAAACCTCGTCTTAAAACTGTGTATGGTTCCTGCCTCCACTACGTCATTTTCTAGGCTATTCCACTGCCTTACAACTCTATGACTGAAGAAATACTTCCTACTATCTCTCTGACTCATTTGTGTCTTCAACTTCCAATTGTGGCCTCTTGTTTCTGTTGTCCCCTCCCTGGAACATCCTGTCCTTGTCCACCTTGTCTATTCCACGCAGTATTTTATATGTCGTTATCATGTCTCCCTGACCCTCCTGTCCTCCAGTGTCGTCAGGCCGATTTCCCTTAATCTTTCTTCATAGGACATTCCCTTAGCTCTGGAACTAACCTTGTTGCAAACTTTGTACTTTCTCTAGTTTCTTGACGTGTTTTTATCAAGTGCGGGTTCCAAACAGGTGCTGCATACTCCAGTATGGGCCTGAAATACACGGTGTACAGTGTCTTAAATGATTCCTTACTAAGGTGTCGGAATGCTGTTCTCAGGTTTGCCAGGCGCCCAATGCTGCAGAGTTATCTGATTGATGTGTGCTTCCGGAGACATGCTCGGTGTTATACTCACCCCAAGATCTTTCTCCTTGAGTGAGGTTTGCAGTCTTTGGCCACCTAGCCTATACTCTGTCTGTGGTCTTCTGTGCCCTTCCCCTATCTTCATGACTTTGCATTTGGCAGGATTAAATTCGAGAAGCCATTTGCTGGACCAGGTGTCCAGTCTGTCCAGGTCTCTTTGAAGTCCTGCCTGGTCCTCTCAGATTTAATTCTCCTCATTAACTTCACATCATCTGCAAACAGGGACACTTCGGGAGTCTAACCTTCCCGTCATGTCGTTCACATATACCAAAAATAGCACTGGCCCTAGGACCGCCCCCTGTGGGACCCCGCTCGTCACAGGTGCCCACTGTGATACATCATTACGTACCATGACTCGTTGTTGCCTCCCTGTCAGGTATTCTCTGATCCTTGCAGTGCCCTTCTGTTATATGCGCCTGATGCTCTAGCTTCTGCACTAATCTCTTGTGAGGAACTGTGTCAAAGGCCTTCTTGCAGTCCAAGAAGATGCAATCAACCCAACCCTCTCTCTTGTGTCTTACTTCTGTTACTTTATCATAAAACTCCAGAAGGTTTGTGACACAGGATTTGCCTTCCGTGAATCCGTGCTGGTTGGCATTTTACTCCTGTTTCCGTTCCAGGTTGCTCCACCACTCTCCTCCTGATAATCTTCTCCATAATTTGCATACTATACACGTCAGTGACACAGGTCTACAGTTTAGTGCCTCTTTTTTGTCCCTTTTTTTTAAATGGGAACTACATTTGCCGTCTTCCATATCTCAGGTAGTTGCCCAGTTTCCAGTGATGTGTTGAAGATTGTGGTAAGTGGTTGCACAACATAAACTGCTCCCTCTCTAAGGACCCATGGAGAGATGTTGTCCGGTCCCATTGCCTTTGAGGTATCGATGTCCCTTAGCAGTTTCTTCACCTCCTCCTCATCTGTATGTATGTCGTCCAACACTTGTTGGTGTATTCCTTGTTGGTGTCCCCATCTGGTCTGTCCCCCCAGAGTCCTTCCTGTCTCTACTGTAAATACTTCCTTAAATCTCGTGTTGAGCTCCTCACATACCTCTTGATCGTTTCTTGTGAGTTCCCCACCTTCTTTCCTCAGCCTTATCACCTGGTCCTTGACTGTTGTCTTCTTCCTAATGTGGCTATACAGCAGTTTCGGGTCAGATTTGACTTTCGATGCTATGTCGTTTTCATACTGTCTCTGGCCTCCCTCCTTATCTGCGCATACTCGTTTCTGGCTCTTTACTAATCTCCTTGTTTTCCTGGGTCCTATGCCTCCTGTACCTTTTCCATTCTCTGTTGCACTTAGCTTTTGCCTCCCTACACCTTCGGGTAAACCAAGGACTCGTCTTGGTCTTCCTATTATTTCTGTTTCCCTTGGGAACAAAAACTTTCCTCTGCCTCCTTGCACTTTGTTGCCACATATTCCATCATCTCGTTTACTGATTTTCCTACCATTTCTCTGTCCCACTGAACCTCCTGCAGGAAGTTTCTCATACCTGTGTAGTCCCCCCTTTTATAGTTTGGCCTGTCCCCTTCAGTTCCTGTTACCTTCTCCACTTGTAACTCTACTATATAGTCAAAACTCAGAACCACATGATCGCTAGCTCCAAGGGGCCTCTTGTAAGTGATGTCCTCGATGTCTGAACTGCTCAGGGTGAACACAAGATCCAGTCTTGCTGGCTCATCCTCCCCTCTCTCTCTGGTTGTGTCCCTGACATGTTGATGCATGAGGTTTTCAAGTACCACATCCATCATCTTTGCTCTCCATGTTTCGGGACCCCCATGTGGCTCCAGGTTTTCCCAGTCGATCTCCTGTGGTTGAAATCGCCCATTACCAGTAACTTTGCTCTGCTCGAGTGAGCTCTTCTTGCACCTCAGCCAGTGTGTCCACCATCACCCTGTTGTTTTCTTCGTACTCCTCTCTTGGCCTCCTGCAGTTCTGTGGTGGGTTATACATCACTCCAATGACTACTTTATGTTCTCCGGACTGAATTGTACCTACAATGTAGTCTCTTTCTCCAATCATGTCCATGCCTTCCATTTCCTCAAATCCCATTGGTGTTTTTATGAGCAGTGCAACCCCTCCTCCCCCTCTACCCCTTTATCTTTCCTCAGGATCTGATATCCTGTTGGGAAGATTGTGTCTGTTATTATCTCAGCGAGTTTTGTTTCTGTGACTGCTATGATGTCTGGGGATTTTTCACTGATTCTTTCATTCCACTCCTCATGTTTATTCATTATTCCATCCGCAT